TTGGTTTGTTCTGGAAAGGTGGGACAACTCAGAAGCAAAGGCAGAAGACTAGAAACACAGAGAGAGCTTCCAGGTCACAGATAGTTGCATTCTTTTGAGTTTTTAATGAGCCTTTCCAAAGGAAGCAATCAGATATGCATCTATCTCAGTGAGCAGATGGGTGACTTTGAATAGATGGGAGGTAGGTTTGCCCTAAGCAGTTTCCAGCTTGAGCTTTCCTTAGTGATTCTGGGGGCCTAAGATATTTTCCTTTCACATATCTGTCTCACGTGTCCATGTGAAGAGACCACCAAACAGGCTTTGTGTGAGCAACAAGGCTGTTTATTTCACCTGAGTGCAGGCGGGCTGAGTCCAAAAAGACAATCAGCAAAGGGCGGTGGGATTATCATTAGTTCTTATAGGTTTTGGGATAGGCGATGGAGTTAGGAGCAATGTTTTGCGGGCAGGGGGTGGATCTCACAAAGTACATTCTCAAGGGTGGGGAGAATCACAAAGAACCTTCTTAAGGGTGGGGGAGATTGCAAGGTACATTGATCAGTTAGGGTGGGGCAGAAATCACAATGGTGGAATGTCATCAGTTAAGGCTATTTTCACTGCTTTTGTGGATCTTCAGTTGCTTCAGGCCATCTGGATGTATACAAGCAGGTCACAAGGGATATGATGGCTTAGCTTGGGCTCAGAGGCCTGACAATATCTAACGTAATGGATTTAGGCAGCTCCATTCCTAATATTCAGGGGCCAGGGCTAGAATACAAATGGAGGCCCACAGACCGTGTGTCTCAGTTTCTTAACATTCTAAAGCAAGCTCAAAAAGCCAACAAATCAAGTGTGTCTAATCTTCCCTCCTGAACAAAATACCTTCTTACCAACCTGGAAGCCAGGTTAGCATGTAGGATTCTCAGAAGTTCCACACTAAAATGTGGCAGCCTAGGGACAACCAACCTCCTGTCCCCAGCCCCCACCCACAAGCTCCTCTCCTTCTCCTCCCACCATTGCACACCCAACCCCAAAGGCTCTCAGAAGAATGCACGAGGCTCCACATCCAAGCTCTGTCCACAGCCCCTGCAAACGCTCACCCCTTGACCATGCCACAGACCTAGGGATGTCACAGTAACAGTGACCTTGGGGCAAAGTGCAGTTAGTCTACAGGTGGAACAGGAGCCTTTGGCCATGTGGACACCTCACTTCATGGGGAGGAGCACAGAGGATGAGCAGGCCTAAGGGAGGGCCTAGGTTTAGGAAGAGATAATTCAACAATGCTTGTAAATAGACCAGCGCTGAGCTCTCCATCATGGCCTACGTAAAAAGCTCTTAGAGTCACTATCAGTAGCTTTTTGTTGTTGTTGTTGTTGAGATGGAGTTTTGCTCTGTCACCCAGGCTGGAGTGTAGTGGCACGATCGTGGCTCACCGCAACCTCCATCTCCCAGGTTTCAAGTGATTCTCCTGCCTCAGCCTCCCAAGTAGCTGGGATTACAGATGACCGCGATCATGCCTGACTCACTTTTGTATTTTTAGTAGAGACGGGGTTTCACCATGTTGGCCAGGCTGACCTCAAATTCCCGACCTCAGGTGATCTGCCCATCTTGGCCTCCCAAAGTGCTGGGATTACAGGCTTGAGCGACCATGCCCAGCCATTGTCAATAGATTTCTGAAGCTGATAAAAAGACCTGGCAGGGCATGGTGGCTCACACCTGTAATCCCAGCACTTTGGGAGGCCGAGACTGGTGGATCACAAGGTTAGGAGATCGAGACCATCCTGGCTAACACGGTGAAACCCCGTCTCTACTAAAAATACAAAAATTAGCCAGGTGTGGTGGCGAGCGCCTGTAGTCCCAGCTACTTGGGATGCTGAGGCAGAAGAATAGCTTGAATCCGGGAGGCAGAGGTTGTTTTGAGCCGAGACTGTGCCACTGCATTCCAGCCTGGGCAACAGAGCGCAACTCTTGTCTCAAAACAAAAAACAAAAAAAAACAAAGACCATGACCGATATGAGAGGATCATCCTGCCCCGCCCCGAGCCAAGGTTCAGCTGAATCTGACCTCAGTGAGCTGGAAAAGGTCCCAAGAAGACAGGACTGTTTCCTATGATGAACCTGTATGCACCCCTAGACCTCGGTGAGCCAGAAAAGGTCCTGAGAAGACAGGACTATTTCCTGTGATGAAAATTGATGGAAACTCCTCACCCTGGAAAGGAAAAGGATAAAAGCGAAAATAATTAGAATCTGTCATGTTCTTTAGGACGCGAATGAGGGGAACGTAGATGGACTACCCCTCACATTCTGGAATATTCTTTCTAGGAAACACTTCTTAAAGCCTGAGGAAGTTAGATTCTAGATGTAAATTGTTAAAACCACTGCATATAACAAACAAATGAGTTCTCTAACCCAGGAGGAAATAAAAGCTGGAGAGGTTCAAGAGGTGGGTGGGGGCACAGTCAGGGGACATCCAAAGTCAATGCCATGGACAAACACTGATATGCATTCCCTTCCATGCCATTGCCAGAGTTGAACAGTCACTGGTCCCGACTCAAGGAGGCCCAGCCAATCTCTATGCTTTTATGGTTTTGTTGTTTTAATGTCTTTATGTTTTTACAAGTCCAGCTAAAGTTTGCACCTCCTAGTCCTTTCAAACAGCCTTGATTCTTGTCATTGAAAGGAGGCCACTGTCCACATCCACTCACCAATTCATTCATCCATTCATTGAGGGTACCAGCCTCTGGGTGCATGTAGAGTTCTTCTCTTTTGTTTATGATTTTCTTTCAAACATTTCATCTGAACTTCCAAGCTAATTATCACCCCTACTCCCTCCCAGTTCAGACCTCCCAGAGGAAGGCGGCCTTCTCCCTCTTTTCCCAGAATCTGCTTCTCTTTGAAATGTTGTCTGCTCCTTGTTCTAAGGCCAAGTGTGCAAAGCACATTCCAGCCATCTGATTTTGTTTTATTCTGTAGACTGGTTTTTTGGGGCTCTCCACACAGGAGATCTATGGACATCGTGTTAGTCCTGGTCTTCCAAAGAGGAGATGTGAAAAGGGAATTAAATGTGCAAGGGTTTTACTGGGGGAAATGCCTATGAGAGAAATAGAGTAGGCACCAGCGAGGCCAGGGGAGCCTTCAGACCATGATGCAGGCTGGATCCCCGTGAAGGAAAGAGGGCAGAAAGGTTGTATGGAAGCATCCCAGACCATGTTGCAGTATCTGGAGGGTTGTGCAAGGCCATGAGGGAGTCCTTGAGCTAACTCAACTATTAGAGGGTCCTGTGTCTCCCAGGAACAGGCCTGCCGTGCTCCACCTTTGGCTGGTAATTGCCCGTAGGAAGCATGACCTCAGTGCAAACACGATGACGGCTTTCAAAGCACGGCAGTGGGGACCCTCGGTCATTGATGCGCCTGTGGTTGGAAGTCTGAGAGACACATTCACATGGTCACTTCAGATGCTTATTAACTTGGGTTGGAGGGAGATCTCCTCTGTGCCTTCACACCCCTTTCAGTGACTTCAATAGAAAATTGAGACTTTAGTGTGTTTGTGTGTCTAAGTGTATGTGTGCGTGTCTGTGTGCATGTGTATGTGCTTGTATGTATGTGTGTGTCTGTGTTTGTGTTTATGTTTGTGTGTATATTTGTGCATGTGTGCATATTTGTGTGTATGCTACATGTCTGTGAATGTGTGTGTCTGTGTATTGGTGCCTGTGCATATGTGTCTGTGTGTATGTGTGTAAGTGCATATGTATGTGTATATGTGTTTGTGTTATACATGTCTCTGTGTGTGCATGTCTGTGTATGCATGTCTGTGTGTTTCTGAGTTCATGTGTGCATGTGTGTCTGTGTCTCTGTGCATGTCTGTGTATGTGTTTCTGTGTGCATGTGTGTGTGCACATGTGTCTATGTCTGTGTATATGCATTTCTGTGTGAATGTGTGTTTCTGTGTTACTGTGTGTTTGCATGTGTGCTTGTGTCTATATATGAATGCACATGTTGGTGTACATGTGTTTCCGCATGTGTCTGTGTGCATGTGTGCGCTCTCTGTGTAGGTACATGTGTGTTTGTGTGTACATGTGTGTTTATGTGTATTGCGTGTATGTGTGTTTCTGTGTGTAGATGTGTTTTTGTGTGTCTGTGTATGTGTATCTGTGTGCATGTGTGAGTTCTCTCTATGTGTGTGCATGTATGTTCTGTGTGTATGTGTTGTACAAGTGTGTCTGTGCCTGTGGATGTGGATGTGTGCGTGTATTTCTGTGTGTACACGTGTTTTTCTGCCTGTGTGTGCGCACATGTGTGTTTCTCTGTGTGTGCATGTGTTTGTGTGTGCATGTATGTTTCTGTGTCATGTGTGTTCTGTGTGTATGTGTTGTACATGTGTGCATGTGTATGTGTGTGCTTCTGTATGCATGTGTTTGTGTGTGCTCTGAGTACAAATATGTTTGTGTGTTTTGTGTGTACATGTGTTTTCTGTATGTGTGTCTGGTGCATGTGTGTTTCTGTATGTGTGTGCATGTGTGTGCATATGTTTGTGTGTGCATGTGTGTTCTGTGTATGTGTGTACATGTGTTTTTCTGTCTGCATCTGTATGTGGGTCTTGTGCTTCTGTGCTTCTGTGTATGCATGTGCATGTGTGTGCATATGTTTGTGTGCATGTGTGTTCTGTATGTGTGTCCATGTTTTCCTGTATCTGTATGTGTCTTTGCATGTATGTTTCTGTGTCATGTGTGTTCTGTGTGTATGTGTTGTACTTGTATATGTTTGTGCTTCTGTATGCATGTGTTTCTGTGTGCATGTGTGTACTTGTGTGTGCATATATGTGTGTGCATGTGTGTTCTGTGTATGTGTGTACATGTTTTTCTGTGTCTGTATGTGTGTGTCAGTGTCTTGTGCATGTGTGTTTGTGTGTGTATGCATGTTGTGCACATTCGTGCTTAGAAAGAACCCACTCCCACAGCCACAAGGACACCTCTGAGGCCAACTCACATCGCAGGCCCTCACCCCTCTCTCTATTGCTCCCTTCTAGACCATCCTGGTGGGCGACAGTGGTGTGGGAAAGACGTCTCTGCTGGTTCAGTTCGATCAGGGCAAGTTCATCCCCGGCTCCTTCTCGGCCACTGTGGGCATTGGATTCACGGTAAGCACTGGCCGACACTGCCAGCTTTGGGCCTGGGCTCAGGACTCCAGCGTGTTTTTGCTGAGCGCCAGCAGGAAACAGGTGGACACTCGCACTGGACCATTCAAGGAGGATTAAGGAGAAGACTGTTCCCCAAGGTGTAGGAGGGTGTTGGGTGACCAGGAGGGAGCGTGCACTGCCCCTGGGTAGTCCAGGAACTCCACCCACCTTTAACCTCAAGCGGGAAGGGAAGGCACCCTCACCAGAACCCAGGGACAAAGCGGGCTGCTGGGTGAGCTGCCTGGCAGGAGCTGTGTGGGACCTACAGTGGAGGGACACAGCAGCCCATGGGAGCCCCCGAGGGAGGCAGCCAGGAGAACAATCCCCTGTCCCACCTTGCTCTCCTCCTGCTCCCCATCTCCTTCTGGGGCTCCACACTGGATGAACGCAAGTGGAAACCAGAAAGCAAAAAATATTTTAATATGGGATAGCTCAGGTCAGCCCTCCAAGGCAAGAAGAATCTGGAGGGACAGAGGGACGACAAAGTTTTCAGCACAGTCCAAACTTAGCATTGTCACATGGGTCTCAGGGAGCTGGCAGGCCAAGGTTACAGTTCCGTGTTTACCCCTCAGTAAAATGGTAAAAGGGCAGCTTGGGTTAAGGAATCCCAGCACCCACTTTTTAGGAATCCCAGCAGCTTTTTCTGCCCACAGCCCCTCTGCGGGACAAGAGATCCCTCCTCTCTACCATACATCCCATCTCCCCGCATTGCCCCGTGCCTGAGGCTGCAGCTGCCCTTGAATTCCTGGGAAGATCTTGGGAGAGGGTTCCACTCCTCTCTTGGACTGTGGCAGGAGGAGCAGGGCCCTCCCTTGGGACCCCAGAATCGTAGCATCTTGAGATGGGGAAGAGCAAACATCTCTTCTTGGATAACACGGATGTTTGGGAGCCTCTGGGACCGGAGCACAGGGCCTGCGAGGTCACATTCAAGGTCAGTACGCAGCAGTGCCACGCTGATGGGAACAGACAGAGGAAAACTCAGAAAAATGGGCTTTCCCACTGGGTCACAGCCAGGAAGTCAGGGGTTCAGAACGGTCATGGCTTCTGGGTGACCTTCCAGGAGGCAAAGCGGAAGTGAGTGCCTGACTCGGGTGTGTTCTTGGGCCTAGAATCGACCCTGAAACACCAGTGCCCAGGGCTCTCCCCCGCGATGGGACCAGCTGGGCTCTAGTAGTGCTAAATAGGGCAGGGCTGAGACCCAGGAGGCCAAGGCTGCCTGGCAATCCCCGAGGTCTTGGACCAGGCTGCCATGAAGCAAACCAGGATGACCTGGTGCCAGGCGTCACCCACCTCAGCCCAGGCCCAGTCTGCCCTCAGCAGCCAGGGCACACCCTGCCCTCAGGGTCACACCCACATCTCTTCACCCACCCTTCTGCCTGTCTGGTGAGGAAGGAAAGAGAGTGGGGTGGATGTGGCTGTGGACATGCAACGTCTGATTCACATTCCAGACCACAGAGGTGAGATCTCTGAATTTTGCTGCTAGCTTGGCAAGAAAATTGGGGCCAATTTCCTGTGAAGGAAAAAGAAAGTGCGTGGTCAAACTGTGTGCTCAAAGCTGCCTGAGATGGGACAAGCTGGACTTTCGCACTGACCTTAGGCTAGGGTGGGCCTCCTAGAGCCTGGGCTGCCTGCTTGGCACCAGCCAGCACCCAATGTCCTGGTGCATCTCAGGACAAACCTGTTGGTTGCTTACGCTGAGTGAGGGTCTGAGCCCCTGGCCAGAAACTCAGCCTGGGGACACCTGAGCAAAGAACTGGAGGACATCGGGGTCTCCTCCAGATATCAGCGGTCTGGGGGTCCCCGGAGAGCCAGGTTACCAGACACTTGTTCACCCATCTGTCCTTCACACTGAGGTTGGAGATATGACATGGATAAGGGCCCTGCCGCTGGCCTGGCTGTAGCCTGGAACTCCTGTGTGATGGGAAGGGAGGCAGAAGCTCCCACTGGCTCCACTCAGGAGGCTGAGTGCCGCCCAGGTGGCAGGGGAGGGACGGAGCCCCTGGTCTCCCACTTTGGAGGAGCCAGAGGTGAGCAGGGTGACTACCCCCGGCGTGCCTTCACCCATAAACTACCAGGCCCATTGCCTTCTGGAAGTGGGACCTGCCCAGGTCCTGTGTAGATGCCTCTCAGTCAAGACCTTCCCTAAATTCTCCACCACCAGCTTCATCAAACTGGCTGCGGGGGTCCTGCTGATGGGGTTATGGGGTACTGACACCGATGGGGTTCACACAGCGGTCTTTCCAGTCAGCCCCTCCCACCACAGTTCAGGTCCTCCTTGTTACCTCTCTCCTCAGTTTCCCCCAAATTCCCTAGTCTTGCCTAAATACTGATGCAAAATTCCTCTTTCAAAAACCCTTACTCAGGCCAGCCGTGGTGGCTCACACCTGTAATCCCAGCACTTTGGGAGGCTGAGGCAGGCGGATCACTGGAGGCCAGGAGTTCAAGACCGGCCTGGCCAACAAGGCAAAACCCCATCTCTACTAAAAATACAAAAAAAATTGCCAGGCGTGGTGGCACACGTCTGTAATCCCAGCTACTTGGGAGGCTGAGGCAAGAGGATCACTTGAACCTGGGAGGCAGAGGTTGCAGTGAGCCAAGATCACACCATTGCACTCCAGTCTGGGCAACAGAGTGAGACTCCATCTCAAAACAACAACAACTACAACAAAACCTCACTCTGCTCATCCCCCACCTGAACATTCATGGTTCACTATTGCCTTCCAAATAAAGTCTGAATCTCTCATCTGCTGGTCAAACTGTTGCACAGTTTAGACCAGTGGTTTTCAAACACTCCTTCAGCGTGCATAAAAGCCTCCAGGGAGAAGTTCATCTGAAAGGCAAATTCCAAGCTCCCTCATAGACATGCTGCTTTAGTAAAACCACGTGGGGGGCCCAGAATCTGGGGGCTCTGACCCAGGGGGTCCACGCGCCATGTTTTGCAAAACATGAGCTGAGGCCTTGTCCCTCTAGTCTCTGCCCGGGTCTCCTTCCCACATCCCGACCCTGTGCTCTTTGGCTGTGCTGTTCTCCAGCTCTGGAGTTTTCTGCCATCCACCTCGGTAGCAGGGAGGCCCTTGCCCCTGCCCCCCAGAGCTCCAGGGCTGCACACAAGAGCCCCCCGACTCTCAACAAGCACGAGGGCCTGTCTCACTGACACTTGGTACCTCCACTATCAGCAGGGCTGCATGACTATGAGGGTGTGATCTGTGAAAAGGAGGGCAGGGGTATCTATTTGGGGGTATTGTGGGGGTGTGCGTTTCAGATCTGGAGGCAGTAAGAGGTGTTGGCGGTAATTTACAGGCTGATATACACATTAGGTGATGGTGTGAGGCATGGGGTCCATTGGAGACGCAGGTGCTTGCAGAGTGATGTGGCATAGGCGTCGATGGTGTGAAATAAACTGTGCCTGGAGTTGCATTATGGTGACAGGAGTTGCATTATGCACAGGTGAAATAAACTGTGCCTGGAGTTGCATTATGTGTTTGGAGTAAAATGAGGTATGTGTGTTTGGGGGTCATGTAAGATATGTTGTAGGTGTGTGGTATGATAGTACGTGTGTTTGTTTGTAGTATGAGGTAGTTTGAGGCATAACATAAAGTTGTGTGTGGGGCATGTTATGAAGTGTGTGTTTGTGGTATAATATAGGGTGTGAGGCATGTGTATTTATGGTATGATGCGAGGCAGATGTGTGTGGCCTGATGTAGGGTGTGTGTGTATATATTTGTGGTGTGATTTGAGGGTGTGTGTGTGAGTTGTGGTATGAGGTGTGTGTGTAGGGCATGTGTGGTGTGATTTTGTGATTTGAGGTGTGTGTGTGGTATGAGGTGTGTGGTGTGATTTGAGGTGTGGGTGGTGAGGTGTGTGGTGTGATTTGAGGGATGAGGTGTGTGTAGTGTGAGGTGTGTGTGTGCATGTGGTGAGGTATATGTGTCTGTAGTGTGATTTGAGGGTGTGTGTGTGGTGTGTGTGTGTGGTGTGAGGTGTGTGTCTGGTGTGATTTGAGGGGGTGTGTGTGGTGTGAGGTGTATGTGGTGTGATTTGATGTGTGTGTGTATGTGGTGTGAGATGTGTGTGGTGTGATTTGAGGTGTGTGTGGTGAGGTGTGTGGTGTGATTTGGGGGTGTGTGCGGTGTGAGGTGTGTGGTGTAATTTGAGGTATGTTGATGAGGTGTGTGGTGAGATTTGAGGTGTGAAGTGTGTGGTGTGATTTGAGGTGTGTGTGGTTTGAGGTGTGTGGTGTGATCTGAGGTGTGTGTGGTGAGGTGTATGGTGTGATTTGAGGGGTGAGGTGTGTGTGGTCTGAGATGTGTGTGTGTGTGGTGAGGTGTGTGTCTGTGGTGTGTTGTGGGGTGGGTGTACACGTGTGAGTGTCTGTGGTGTGTGTCTGGGGAGAGACACAGGCTACCACAGCACATGCACAGCCTCAGAGTGAACGTTAGGAGGCCCAGATTTCCTCCCCAGAGACCACACGGATCCCTTAGTGAGTGCTTGTTCTGCACAGCCCTTGTTCCCTGTTCTGAACATTCTTGACCCCAACCTGCTTCTGACTCACCCAAGGCTGCCCTTGAACACCCTACAGGACATTACAGTGGCCCTGGGGACAGTGTACACACCCTCCAAGCATAACATTACCCACACACCGCAAACCCAGCAGGCCAGACAGGGACCGCCTGGAGGAGAGCCCAGAGCCCCTCTCCCTGTGTTCAAAGACTTCTTCCCTAGGTCAGATTCCTCCATCCAGTCTAGCGCAGCAACGCAGCAAGGAAGTGCTTCAGGTCACTGCTCCTTCTGGATGATTTGAGCTAATGTTCAACCTTCTGTATTCCAAACCCACCACAGGACAAAGAGGGCCTTGGAGCCAACAACACAAACCACAGCTGGAGGCTAGAAATCTGAACTCAGGGTACCAGCAGGGCCACACTCCCTCTGAAGGCCCCAGGGAAGGGTCATTCCTTCTCTTC